TCCTCCTCCTCCTCCTCCTCCTCTTCCTCCATCCTTCTCTTGCCTCCGTCTGTCCTCCTCCACCCCGCAGCTCCATCATCTTCTCCTCCTCCTCCTCCTCCTCCTCCTCCTCCTCCTCCTCCTCCTCCTCCTCCTCCTCCTCCTCCTCCTCCTCCTCCTCCTCCTCCGGTCGCCTGCGGCCCCGCGGGAAACCGTGCAGGGGCGGCAGCTAGGCTTCAGACGTGGTGCTTTTGTTCCACGGCGTGGGCCCCTGGACATTTGAACTTATGATTGGCATGTCCCTCTACAGGGAAGTGTTCAATACCAGTGCGCAAAGTTAGTCTGTGACGATGTGTCGTGCTCTTTGATTGTGTTTGCTTCTATTGGGCTACTTTCTTGTTTTGCTTCCAGAACCCGCCTTTAGGAGGACACGCCCTACCTAAATCTGGACTCCTTCCCTGGGGCCAGTTCTTCGGTCCGCGTCGTCTTCGAGCGGCCCCGGGGGCCGGGAAACGGCCTCCCGCCGTGGCTTTTTTGCCACGCCTCGAGGAGGCGGGGGGCGAGCTCCCCTGCGTTCGGAGAGCCCTCCGCAACGACCAGACAGCAACGCCTGGAGACACTCCAAGAGCACCCCAAGACGGCGCAAGTGGCGCCCAAGACGGCCCAAGAGGGCCCCAAGACGGCCCCAAAAGGGGCCCAAGAGAGGGAACGCGAACCGAAAATCCGAGCCTTCCGCCCCGCCAAACCTCGATCTTCCGGCGAGCCCAGGTGGGAAGTGAAAGGGGGCGGGCCTTGTCAGAAGGCTCGGAAGGCCCGAGGGCTCCTGAGAAGCCCCGCCGCCGTCTGAGAAGGCTTGCCCCCTGTCGCTTCCCCCCTGGGCTCGCCGGCGACACGACGACGATGCCGACGATGGCGGCGACGCAGACGACAGTGACGGCCACGCCGACGACGCCGAAGCCGACGACAGCGATGGCGACGGCGGCGACGACGGCGACGGCGGCGACGACGACGACGAGGACGACGAGGACGACACGGCGCCGGGGCTCGCCGCCGATCGATGCCTCGATGCCCCGGAGCCGCGCGCGCCGGGGCGCGTGCGGGGCGCCCGAGCGGGCGCGCGGCCGCGGCGCTCGCGCGTGGCCGCAGGCGCCCTGCAGAGCCTGGGCGACGACGCCCTCGCGCGGGGCCGGGCGGCCGCCGAGCTGCACGCGGCCCAAGTGCGAGGAGGGGCCGCCGGGGGCTCGGCGACTTCTGCCGTCCTGCGACTCGCGCTGGGTCCGCCAGGGCTCAGCCACGCGCGGCAAAGGGGGCGGGGGGGGGGGAGGGCTTCTCAGAAGCACCCCTGCTCCTGAGAAGGCGCGGGCCTTCGCTATAGATGTAAGGCCTGCGCCTTCTAAGAAGCAGCCTTCTTCTAAGAAGCCCTTCCCCTCCCTCCACTCCCTTGTGCGCACCGCCAGAGGATGTGCTCCAAAGTTCCATGGACACAGGCCTCGGAAGAAAAGTAGCGAGCACTCATGCCACGTTCCTCGGTCAACGCCTCTCCCTCCCCCAGATGTTCAAAGCTGGCGGTGGGTCTGGTGAGCTGCACTTCGACCGCAGTCTCCCGCGCGCGTGTCAACTTTGAGTTTGGGGGAGAGGGAGAGCGTCCTCAAATTGTTTCCCTCTACCTCATCTCTAGGTTGACCTTGCTTTGCCATGCTGCACGCCGATGTGCCTCGATTTCTCGGCACCCACCTTGGTTTATCTGGCAGGATCCCCACAGGTCGAATGGCGAAAAGTCGTCACGCCCTTAGGCAAGGGGCGCGGGGGTCGTCCCAGATCTCCAGCGATGCGATCTTTTCAACCTGCGGGGGTCGCCTCCATCTCGGCCCCCGGGGCCCCGACTGCAGGCGGTGCGCCCCGAGCGGTGCGAAGAAGAGTGGGGCGGACACCGCCGCCTCAGCATCGCAGGGTGGCCAGTTCCGCAGAGGCATGGCGGAAACGGCGACGACGAAGCATGAGGCGGACATCGACCTCACAGGAGCTTGACAACTGGGGCGGTCATGCTTGCACTGCTCGCACAATCGTCCAAGGCACGGCGGAGCCAGAGTCAGGGCCCCGGGGAAGCATCGTCGGGCCTTGTGGCTGGCCGCCAGGAAAAACGGATATGGGACGAACAAGACAGCTCTGGGGAAACGATCGGGAGTTCAGGCGCCCGCGGATGGAAACATCAGATCGGCGGATGTCAAGGGTCGTCGTCGTCGTCGTCGGCGGCGGCGGCGGCGGCGTCGGCGTCGGCGTTGGCGTCGTCTCCGCTAACCCAGGCCTCCTCGTGCAGTGTACAAACCAAAAAGAACACGACGGAGGGTTGCCAGGCTGGTTCCCTGGCCTCCATGAAGGGGGCCCTCAGCTGGCCACCGAGGCCGTCAGAAGACGATCGCGGGAGGAACAGTCGGCGCCCAGGGAGGCGTCGGAAGCTCCAGGGATCCACGTCCTCCTCCTCCTCCTCCTCCTCCTCCTCCTCCTCCTCCTCCTCGATACTCTCCTCCTCCTCCTCCTCCTCCTCCCTCCTCCTCCTCCTCCTCCTCCTCCTCCTCCTCCTCGACCCTCTCCACAGTTTGGGGACAGCACGACGTCGGAAGTCTGAGCCTCTCCGTGTGGGGCCCACAGGAGCTCGCCGGGGGCGCCGGGGGGGGGGGGGGGGGGGGGGCGGTGCGGCGGGGCGCTCCCTGGAGCTGGGAGCGGCGTGCGGCCCGGCGTGGCGCCAGGCAGCCTGGCGCAGGGTCAGGAGAGGCGTCGTACAGCGCCGGTTTTGATACATGCTTCGCATGCGGAGCATGTATTAAGAATAAAGGGAATTAGCATTAAAAGCAACGATGGGTTCATGCATAAATTTATTCATACATTAATCATGAATTAATAATCCTATATGTTCAAACATCCTATGTATGAAAAACTGCCCTGTAGGCCCAGGCCTCCGACGTCGTGGTCCTCCCAGTCCGCGCGCCCCGGGACTCTGGACCCTCGTGGGCCTTGGAAACGGCGGGGTCCCACAGGAGCTGGGACAGGGGTAGTAACCTGCTGTGCGAAGGCGTCCCGGCCGCGGGTTTTTTTCCCGCCGTGCTCCACCACGGTGCCTGGATCGTCGAGCTCTGCGGGTCCCTCGGTGACAGTCGCGCTTGCAGGAGCCAGTCCCTTGTCTTGGAGCTTGCCCGGGCTTCGCCCACTCTGGCCGCCTGAGGCCCCGCCTTCCTGTGCCCTGTCTCCCTAATGAAAGCTGTGCGTAGCCCGCCCAGCTTTTATAGCGGAGGAGGCTCGCCCTCGCCCTGCAGACCAAAAACACCTTGTGTTGGAGCTCGCACGCCTGAGTTTGACGACGCTGAGAGCTGCTGTCGGTTTTCTGTTCTTAACTCGGGCTGTAGGGGGCTGCAGGGCTGGTAATGCCAGGAGTCGATTCGCAGACATCAGACGCGTTTGTCTGTCGCATTCAGAGGTCAAAAAATATTCACTATCAGTCGGAATGTTCGTAGGTGCTGTCGGATTTCTCAACGTAAGTCTCGCAGTCGTGCCTGTTGTGCAGCCGACGCTCGGCAGCGGGCTGTCAGGGCAGCGCACCGGAGGACGGTGTGCAGACGTTGCCCGGGGGAGCCCGTCACGCGTCCGTGCCTCGGGCCATCCTGTGCCTGCTCGGGGGCGTCGTCGCTGTCACTCAACTCCAGAGTCTTTCCCAGCGACGGAGCTACCTCATTTGACCAGTCGGCATCTGGCCTGACGCTCTCGGCTTGAGACTGGGGCGGAAGCGTCGTCCCCTCTTGCCTCTGCGCTCCCGTCGCGAGCCCAGCTGCGCCCGAGGCCGCTCGCACCTCCCCCTGTCTCCTCGCCTCCTTCCCTCTTCCTCCCCTCCCTCCTCATCCTCCTCGTCTTCAAACTCCTCATCCTCCTCACTCACCCCTGCCTCCTCCCGATCTCCTCCTCCCTCTCTCCTCCTCTTCCTCCTCCTCCTCGTTCTCCTCCTCCTCTTCCTCATTTGCTCTCCCAACTCTTTGTTGGGCGGCGCCAGGCGTCGCGTCGGCGCTGAGCAGCACCACCGGGGCGCCCTCGGGTGGTCGCCGAAGCCGATGTCGTCGTCGGATCGGAGGGGAGGAGGAGGAGGAGGAGGAGGAGGAGGAGGAGGAGGAGGAGGAGGAGGACAGGGTAGCAACAGGGGAGGAGGAGGAGAGGGCAGTAGCACCTTGTTGGCCGTGTGGCGCGCGGCGGGACGCCAAGCTGCAAAAGAGCAAGCTTGAAGCTTCAGACTTGAGCTTGTGTTTCCAAGTGCCCCTGTTTCGCTGCCAGAGTGTGAGCTTCTGTTTGTGCTCATGCGTGCACGCCGGACGTTTCCATGCAGTTTTGGTCTGCTTTGGAGTGCCGCTGTTTTGCTGCCAGGGCTTGAATTTCTGATTGCGACTCCGCGTGCGGGCCGAATGCGGTTTGAGGAGGTCCAGGGAAGTTCGAGTCGCGCAGCGCCAACCACGACGACCACAGCAAAATAGTCTGTTCTGCATTGCAGTGTTGGTCTGCTCTGGAGTGCCGCTGTTTTTTTGCTAGAGCTTGAGTTTGAGCTGATGATTACGATTCCGCGTAAGAGCCGCATGTGATTTGAGGAGGTCCAGGGAAGTGCGAAGCGCGCAGCGCCAACCACCACGAGTGCAAAATTGCTGTTGCATTGTAGTGCTACATGCATTGCAGCTTCTCGTTGTGCAGTCGTTGTTGCAGTGCAAATTCGACATGCTTCGGGTCATTGCTGTTTCGCTGCTGCAGCTTGAGCTTCTGATTCCGCGTGCGAGCCAAATGCGGTCTGAGGAGGTATATGGAGTTGCGAAGCGCGCAGCTCCAACCAAGTTGTTTTAGCATTGCAGTTGTTTCAATGCAGGTTTGGCTTGCTTCGGAGTGCCGCTGATTCGCTCAGCTTGACCTCGTGGTCATGATTCCGCTTGCGAGCCGAATGCGGTTCGAGGAGGCCCAGGGTGGATGCGAAGCTCGCGGCGCCAGCCACGACGACGACGACGGCAAAACATCCGTTCTTGCGCGCCTTGCCCATGCTCGTGAAATACACCGCCGCCGCCACCTCCCATCGCAGCTCCGACAGAGCGGGCAACTCGTGGTGCGCGCGCGAGGACGCGCCCGCTCGAAGAGTCGGCGATGCTCCGCCTCTCGCGCGACGCGCGCGGTGTCGGCACCGCGCGACGACGGAGGGCGCGCGCGCGCAGGACCGCGCTCTTCTGCGGGTGCGAGCGGAGACCCCCCCTTGGCCGCGGGGCGCGACGTTCCCGCGCTCGGGGCCTGGGCCTGGCGGCCGGGCGCTCGCTGGCCCCTCCGCGGAGGCTGCCCCAGAGAGCGTTCGAGCCAGGGACCCTCGGGGATCCATGGGCGCCCGAACCCTGGCGCAGAGTTAGGACGTTCCAACCTGCTTTAGCTTCGATCGCCTGAAGGCATTTCGAGCACCCCAAAAAGTACCGAAGCTCGAGAGGGTGTTCACGCGTCGGGCCCCGGGAGACACTGTTTCGACGCTCTGTCGACACTCTTTCGTCACTCTTTCGACACTTTCCCGGGTGCTCGAAATTATTGTTGGAATGTGGTCCTCAAGTACGATGGGAGCAACAGAACCATTGGGTGTCCTTGTGGGCATCTTCCCAGGGTCTCGCTTGCTGTTTGGAGGTCCAAGGTCGGCGCAACCCTGCCGTGCTTTTGAGCGACCCCCTCCGCATTGTTGAAAAGTGCATTGAAAAAGCTCTACTCGCCTGATACATCGGCGATTTGCATCTTTGAGCGAGCGCCTTCGTACTTGTGGGCGAGCCCTCCGTACTTAATGATGAGAAGTGCATTCGAAGGTCGGTTTCGCTTGAGACATCCGCGGTTCATACTTGCGAGATGACGTCCTCAAAGTGTAGCTTCGCACTTTCGAGCAAGGCCGCCCCAGTCCCCTCCACTGGGCGAGCCAGGGTGGGCGAGGTCCGCTCTTTGCAGCGCAGCGTGTCGAAGGCCCAAGAGGTGGGTGCGACGTGCGATGCTGGCGCGCTCCCGCCCTCCATTTCCGGGGAGCTTCCCTGGGGGGCGTCCCTGCTATCTTTGTCGCTTTGTCGAGCACCCCACGGTTCAAAGTGCTGTCTCGCTAGACGCTAGACCTGGCCGCGGGAAATCAGGGCGGCGCACGTCAGCGAGAAGTTGCCCCGCGCTGGTGCCGCGCGGGCACACGAAGACACGCTGGAATCGCGGGCGTCGCGTGGGCAGGTCGCCCTTGGCCTGGCGCGCGCGGCCCCGCCACCGCGCGCGCGCGCCGCAGAGGCCCCCCGTAATTCATCAGAGCGGAACGCAGGCACTCCTCCTCCTCCTCCTCCTCCTCCTCCTCCTCCTCCTCCTCCTCCTCCTCCTCCTCCTCCTCCTCCTCCTCCTCCTCCTCCTCCTCCTCCTCCCCCGCTGGCGCTATCAGCGGGCCTGCTTGCTGCATGTCCGAAATTGCATTCCAAGGCCTGCTCGCAGGACCCGCCGTTTCCTGGAACCGATTCTGGCCCGCCCGACTCGTCCCCGGCAGAAGCAGCGCGGCAACGGAGGAGGGGATCCTTTGGCAGCTGGAAGCAGGATCTGGAGAGCATCGTGCTGCCACCGCGCGGGGTGGCGCGGGATCGCGCTGCAGACGCGCGAGCGCGCGCCCCAGGCGGGCCGTCGACGCGACCCCCACGCAACGCGAACAGGGCGCCCCTGAAATGCAACAGGTGACCCTGACTCCTGATCCGCCCTACTTTGGGCGATTTCGAAAGTAGGGCGGAAATTTCCGCCCTACGTTTAAGGCCCCTTTGAGCGTCGATTTCCGCCCTTGAGGCTCCTTTGGCGTCGATTTCCGACACAATTTTAGGTCGGAAAATCATCCAAAGTACGGCGGATCAGGAGCCAGGGGATGCAACGTTGAAATTCCATTCACTCGAGCCGCCGAAGTGCCATTGCCAGGCGCGCGCCGCAGCGCGCAAAAGGCCAGGGGCAGTAACCAAGGAAAAAAAGAAGAAGAAGCGACGGCGCCGTTTTTTGCTGTATCTATATTACATATTACGAAAGCCTCACGGTCGGTGCCGCCGACCCCGAGGTGGGGGAGGAGGGCGCGGAACATGGGGGGGGGGGAAGATGAGGAGGGGGACAGGAGGAAGAGGAGGATGAGGAGGAGTAGGAGCACAGGGGGGAATTCATAGTAGGAGGAGAGTGAGGCGAGCAGGGTCGCATGTACAGGAGGAGGGGGGGACACGAAGGAAGGCAGGGGCGAGTAAAGCGTGGCGATCATGAGGAAGGGGAGGAAAACAATGGCGACGATGTTGACGATGTTGACGACGACGCTGATTGCCTATAAGGACCCTTCGGGGTCATCTTGGAGCCCTCCTGGGGCGTCTTTCAGGCTTCGTCCGCTGTTTTGCAGCTATCTTCGGCATCTTGGGCATCTGGGAGGCCACGGAGTGTAGATTTGGAGGCTCGACGGGGGTGCATCGACGTCTTTCTAGAATTTTGTGGAGCCGCGTGGTTCCCGGGAGAGGCGTCGCATCTGACCCGGTACAGCGGGACATTTCCGGGACTTCCCCGGGACATCCAGGGCCCCCCCCCCCCTTCCGGCGGGGAAGGGATGAAAGGGAAGGGGCTCCCCTCGACGTATTTCTGGAATTTTGTGGAACCGCGGGGTTCCCGGGAGAGGCGTCGCATATCTGACCCGGGAATTCCCCGGGACTTCCCCCCCCCTCTTCGGCTGGGAAGGGATGAAAGGGAAGGGGCTCCCCTCGACGTCTTTCTGGAATTCTGTGGAGCCGCGGGATTCCCGGGAGAGGCGTCGCATCTGACCCGGGACTGCCCTGGGACATCTCCGGGACTTCCCCGGGACCCCCCCCCCCCTCCGGCGGGGAAGGGCCGAGAGCGAAAGGCTTTCCCTCGGCGTCTTTCTGGGATTTTGCGGAGCCGCGGGATTCCCAGCCCGGCGCGCGCTTCTGCGGCGGGGCCCTCCCCAGAAGAGAGCTTCCGACGCAGCGCCCTTTTTTTGGGAAGCACTCCAGGTTTCGAGTTCGCGCGGCAGGTCCGCGCAGTGCCGGACGCGCCTGCGGCTTCCCGCGGGAGAGCAGGTCGGACCGGGGTGCAGGATCGAGGTCGTTTCGGAGAGGGTGCCCTCGTGTTCTTCGTGTCTGTTGGTCGGGGGCGGAAAAGAGGGGGGTGATGACTAGGGGGGGTGGATATCATGGCGGGGGCCATGATATTTCCCCAGATTTCATGGCGCCTCTTCTTATTTCATTACGTCCCTGGCCCCCCCGCTGGGCCGCGCACATGCCGCCGGTCATGATTTGCACCCCCCCCTCTTGGACACCCCCCTCTTGGCCGCTCCCGAGTTGGATGTTCCTGTGCATCCTGGGGGAGGGTACCCTCGAATGCTCTTCACTTTGGGCCGGCGGAGGGTCCCATATTCTCGCGGGAGGTTTTTTCGTATCAGGTCCGTCTGTTCGAGGTTGAACGGCGAAGCCCCGAAGTGGCCGATGCCATAGAGCGGTGCGCGTTCTCAGAACGCCGCGATCGTTCCAGGTTGAGCGGTCTACTCGGCGTTGGAAACCAGCGCCTGGGTCGTCACGTCTCGCGCCCGCCGCAGCCAGACTTTCACCCCTCGAGGCTGTCGCGTACTGTTTGGGCCTCGGGGCTGTCCGCGCGGAGCTCGTCTCGTTTTTTGCTCTCTCCTGTCTCCTCGTTTCGCGGCTTGACGGCGAATATTTTGCATTCGTGCTCATGCTTTCGGCGCTTCGACCGCCGTCGTGCTATGCTGCACTGTTCGAGGGGAAATAAAAACGTTCGGCCGTCAAGGTTCAGCCGTCTCCCTCTCTCTCCTCAGCCCTGCGACACCGTGTAGTTTGCTTGAGGCTTGGCCAAAGACCTCCCGTCGATATTTGTCACTGCGAGGGGAGGTCCTTGATTTAGGATCCGCCGTATTTGGGGCGATGTCCTATGTAGGGCAAAAATGACCGCCTCACTTTTCAAGCTCCTCTGATGCGAATTTCTGGCCTGCTTTGCCATCGTTGTTTCCGCCACATGCTTGCAAAGATGCCCGCCCCATTTCCGGTAATTTCCGGCGTATTTTCTCGCATTGATCGGGGTGCATTCCGACACGATTCAAAGTCGAAATGTCAGCCCAAATACGGCGGATCCGGAGCCAGGGCCCACTGAGGGGAGGTCGGAAACAGCCAAAAACCTCCCGTCGTGATGTTTCTACGACGAGGAGAAGAGGAGGAGGAGGAGGAGGAGGAGGAGGAGAAGGAGGAGGAGCAGGAGGAAGAGGAGGAAGAGGAGCAAGAGGAGGAGGAGGAGGAGGAAGAGGAGGAGGAGGAAGGAGGAAGGAGGAGGAGGAAGGAGGAAGGAGGAAGGAGAAGGAAAAGGAAGAGGAAGGAGAGAGGAGGAGAAAGGAGGAATGAAGAGGAGAAGGAGGAGGAGGAGGAGGAGGAAGGAGGACAAGAGGAACAGGAAAAGAAGGCGAGGAGGGAGGAGAGGATGAGGAAGAGGAGGAGGAAGGACGAAAGGCGGAGGCGAGGCGGGCGGGTGGAGGAGGAGGCGGGGGAGGAGGAGGAGGAGGAGAGGAGGGGGAGGAGGAGGAGGAGGGGGGGGAGGGGGGGGAGTGGGAGGGGGAGGGGGGAAGGAGGACCAGGACTGCACAGGAGGAGTGCCCCGCTCCACCAGGCGCTGGTGAGGGAGGACCTGCACCCCTCGCTGGCCACCGAGACCGGGAGGCCCGCGCTCGGGTCGGGGGTTACGACGCCAATGACGTCGACAGCGACGTCGACGACGACGTCGAGTCGAAATCGGCGACGCCGACGACGTCGACGACGTCGGCGAGGCCCGAGGAGACGACTCGGCGGCGACGATGCCGAGGGCGACGTCGGCGGCGGAGACGACGCTGATGGCGACGACGTATTGCTTGCGAAGTATTTGCTGGCGCCCCCTCTCCAATGTCGCGAATCGGGAGAAGCTTGCGAGCCGCACTGCTTCAGACTGCGTGTCACCCTCCTTCGACAATGAGGGGGAACGGCATTCGAAAGGGCGAATCGGACGGGGCTGGGACGAGGATAATTCCGTTCCAGAGCGTTCCAGAACGCTCTCGGAGCGTCCCGGAACGTTCTGAGAAATCCGCGGCGCCCGAGACATTCTCCAGAGCCGCTGGATCTCAGAGATTCTCGTTTTATCCGTGCTCGACGCTATCCTCGTCTTAGCTTCGCCTTGCGAAAGGGGGCGACACTGAAGGGGAGGGGGGCGTCAGCCACTGCTGAGACTGCCCTGTGTCGAGAGCTGCAGGCGCCCGGTGGTCGGCGGCGGGGCTTGGCGCTCCCGTGGCGTCCTCCTGGCCGGCGCGGCGGCGGGCCCCGCCCGCCCCGCCCGCCCCCAAAAGAAGGCCCGCCTCCTCCTCCCTCCTCCTGCTCCTCCTCCTCCTCCTCCTTCCTCCTCCTCCTCCTCCCTCCTCCTCCTCCTCCTCCTCCTCCTTCCTCCTCCTCCCCTCCTCCTCCTCCTCCTCCTCCGCTCCTCCTCCCTCCACCTCCCTCCTCCTCCTCCTCCTCCTCGCCTTCTCCTCCTCCCTCCCCCCTCCTCCTCTCTCCTCCTCCTCCTCCTCCTCCTCTCTTCTCATCCTCCTTTCCCTTCTCCTCCTTTTCCTCTTCCTCCTCCCCTCCTCCTCCTCCTCCTCTCCTCTCCTCCTCCCTCCTCCTCCTCCCTCCTCCCTCCTCCCTCCTCCCTCCTTCCTTTCCCTCGTCCCTCCTTCCTCCTCCCTCAGGCTGTGAGGTGGGGTTTCCCCAAGCAACGGGTGTCCCCCATTGGCAATGCTTCCTTGCGGCAAGCGCCCCCGAGGGACTGCTCAATGCTGGCCCGCCTGCAGACCTAGCAGCTTGGTCAGTGATCCCTCCTCTTCCTCCTCCTCCTCCTCCTTCCCCTCCGCCTACTCCTCCCTCTTCTCCCTCCTTCCTCCTCCCTCCTCCCTCCTCCCTCCTCCTCCTTCCTCCTCCCTCCTCCCTCCTCCTTCTCGCTCGTCCCTCCTCCTCCTCCTCCTCCTCCTCCTCCTCCTCCTCCCTCCTTCTCCTCCTTCAAGAAGGGCGCGTGCAAGTACTCCATCACTCGGGGCTGCTGCGAGGCGGCATTGTGATGGCCAACATCTACCTGCAGTCAGGCGTCGGCGTCAACGCGTTCAACGCCCAGATGCTGCGCGACCTGGCCTGCAGGCTGCGCGAGTACGGTCGCCCATACGTGGTCGGGGGCGACTTCAATTGTACCAAGCAGGAGCTGGCCAAGTCAGGCGTGCTGCGGCTCTTCGACGCGGTCGTCGTCGACACGCTGGAGCCCACCTGCGCGCAGTCGAAGCGGACGATCGACATGTTCATCGTCTCGCGTGGGCTCAAGGTTACCAGCATCAGCGTGGTCAGCGGGTCGCCCGTCTACCCGCACAAGCCAGTCATCCTGGAGCTGGAGGCGTGTCGCCAACGGCCGTGGGTTCGGGTCGTGCCAGTGCCCAAGCCCTTCCCTGTCCAGCGGCCTGCTGGATGTGCTCGCGTCGCACACGGCGACCGCTGGGCCGAGATCGGCCACGAGCTGCAGAGCGTGCTGGCAGGCGCGCAGGAGTCGGAGTGCCTGGACATTTCCCGTGGGACCTCACCGCCGCCCGTTGCGGGGCCCTTGAGTGAGGGAAGATCGTGCCACTTGGAGGAGTGTGTGCGGGATCAGGTCAAGGGTAGCACCGACGTCAAGGGTAACCTCACCGCCGCATGGCAGAGGTTCCTCGACGCAGCCGAGGACGAGTGGATCGACATCTACCAGGTCGAGGAGGACAGGTTCAAGCACAAGGGGCGAGCTCGCCCCGTGGAGCCACGTTGGCTTCGGCGGCTGCCCGTGAGTGGCGCGCGCTGGCCGCGGGTCTCGGCTGAGGCGACATGGATGCACCGTGCTGCCAGCCTGCTGCGGGACATCGCCGACGTGGAGCAGCCCAACGCGCGTCTCGACGCTCTTCGAGGTGCGCGTAGGCTGCTAGACAGAGCCCCAGCCACAGTGAAGGCGGCACCTGATGCTGGCGAGGTTCTGTCCTGCCCTCAGGTGTTGCCCCAAGCTGTAGCATGGTGGTCGCTGCTTAGCAACTTGCGCTTGGCGGCGCTGACCCCCGCTGAGCTGCTGCAGCTGCACGCTGGGGCGCAAGCGGTGGCGCTCGACATGGCTGAGAAGGACATGGCCCAGCGCACCGTCCAGTTCCAGCACTGGGTCGAGAAGCAGGCCGAAGGCGGTGGAGGTGGTCTACATGCGGTGTCCCGCCTGCCCGTCGGGTTCGACTCCAGCCCGTACGGCGACGCCGTGGGCGGCCAGGACGCCGACGACCACCAGCAGCTGTTCGAGCCCATGGACCTGGGGCAGCAGGTCACGGCGCTGGAGGTCGAGTGGAGCCGCTGGTGGAGGACTACCTGTGAGCAAGTGCGGCTGCAGTGGCCAGCCGACCTCGGCGAGAGGCCGCCCAGGCCCACGGTCCCCGAGCTCCGCAAGGTGCTGCGCTCGTTCAAGGGCAGCACGGGCATGTCCTTCTGCTCCGTTCGGCCGCGGCAGCTAGACGAGCTGTGCGACGAAGCGCTGGAGGTGCTGATCGACATCCTGTGGCCGTCGAGCGCGAAGCAGCCTGGCCGCTCATGACAACCAAGATCGGCTTCATCCAGAAGCGGCTCGGCGGCGTCAGGCCCATCGCCGTCATCATGGTGCTGGCGAGGGTGCAGGCGCGGCTGCGCCGAGGCGTCGCGCGCAAGTGGGAGCAAGACAACGACCGCCCCTACTGGTGGGCAGCTGCTGGCCGCAGCTGCGAGCGTGCGGTGTGGCACCAGGCCGCGATCGGCGAGTGGGCCACGCAGCGCGGTGCCGACTGCGGGGGCGCCGAGTCGTGGGTGGCCGTGGCGGTGCTGCTCGACCTGCTCAAGGCGTTCGAGCAGGTGCGCCACCACTGGCTGCTGGACGCCGCCGTCGCCACGGGGTTTCCCCTCTGGCAGCTCAAGCTGACGCTGGAGCTCTACTGCGCGCCTCGGGTCCTCTGCATGGGCAACGCGGCCTCGAGCGTGATCGAGGCCAGGCAGTCGATCCTCCCAGGTGATGGCTTCGCGACGGCGCTGCTGAAGCTTATTCTGATCGGGCCGCTGGATCGCCTGGTACTACATCACCCGACAGTTTCTCTGGCCGTCGTCGTGGACGACCTCATGCTGCACCGAGTTGGCGGGCTCGTGCGTGTGACGAAGGAGGTGGCAGAAGCAGCGTTCGAGCTCAAGATGCTGCTGCTGGACGTCGACCTCAACGTGGCGGTCAAGAAGTCGAGGGCGCTCTCCAACCTCCCAGCAGGCCGGCACGCCCTGGCCGCTCGGCTACGCCGTCCCCTCGGCGTGCTCTCCGTCAAGGGCGAGCGCAACCTGGGCATCGACTTCGCCTGCGGCAGGCGCATCGTGCGCAAGGTGCGGCAGGAGAAGCTGGTTCAAGCAGGGCTACGCCAGCGCCGCGTGGCCATCCTGAAGACTGGGGCTGGGCGCAAGAAGGCCGTGCGCAAGGTGGCCCGTGCTGGGATCGAGCCCAGCGTGACCTACGGCGTCGCGGTCACGGGCTGCGCCACCATGGAGCTGGACACGCTGCGCACGGCGACCTTCAAGGCAGTGGCCCCCAGCGTTGACGGTCGCTCGCGCACGCTGACGCTTATGCTGACGCCCATGCTGGACCCGATGATCAGGGCCACGCTGCTCCCAGTGCTGATGATGCTGCGCGCGGCGTGGGAGTGCTGGATCCCGCAGCATATCATCGCCTACGGCCTCACTTGCTGCCAGGCGGCGAGCTGGAGCCAGGTCAAGGGCCCCCTCAGCGCGGTGAGGCTCACGCTCGAGAGAGTTGGCTGGCAGGTGCTGAGCCCTACTTTGTGGCGCACGCATGAGGGCTACGACATTCATGTCTTCGAGCTGGGGCCGTGGTCGGTCAAGCGCATTCTCCTGCGAGCAGTTCAAGCGTGGCAATGGCGTGAGGTTAGCAAAGGGCCTGGCCTGGAGCACCTCGCGAGCGGGGGGGTCATCGCGCCCTTGATCACGATGACCTCCTCGGGTGCCGTCAGCCGCAAGGGCGTCTTCGGTCGGCAGCTGGCGGTCATGGAGGCCAAGGATCAAGATCCTGTGAGGAGGGCGGCTGTGCACGCGCGCATGGTGCTGGAGAAGCGGCTGAGGGCCTACACCACCTTCTGGATCCAGGACATCGCCACGCTTGACGAGGATGGTAACAAGGCCCACTGGCTAAGGCTCTGCGTCTCCTACGTGGCCGACCTGCTCGCGCACGGCACGTGGCTGCCGCTAGTCACCGAGACGGCGCGCTCCCTCGACATCGACAACCTCGGCGTGGCCAGGCTGAAGATGGCCCAGGACCTCTGCGAGTCGGCTTGGTCGGCCAGGAAGCGCATCGGAGCCCGCTACCACGCCAACATGATGCGGCTGGCAGTGCAGGACCCTGACGAGTGGGACGCGCAGGCGGCGCGGCACGCGCAGTCCATGATCAGCGCGGAGGAGCAGTTCGACGAGACGCCTGCCAGGCGCGCCGCGGTGGCCTCAGCTGGTGTCGCCGACGCTGCCTCAGTCCCTCCGTTGGCGATGGAGGTCTGCCCAGAGTTGGCGTCAGGACCCGCTGTCCAGCGGTCGACGTTGCCAAGCTTTGCCGAGCTCGGGGTCAGAACCCCCTGGCCAGCGGTCGCGTCGCCACA